ATTCTGAGTATAATTGGATAAAATATATTTTATCATTAATTTTTTTCTAGAAAATCAATGCGTAACAACAACTCCTTTAAATAAATAAGAGTAATTGTTTAGCCAACTCGGTCAATTTTAGATTTTATTTTTGAGTGTTGTTGATATAAATTTTTAATATTTAAATTTAGATATAAATTATCTTTTCACGATTAGAAATTATAAATTTAAATAGATAATCTACACTTTACTCTCTTTTATACTTTTCAAAAATTTTCTTATCATTAAGAAATAAGAAATGGAAAATAAATAAACAAAAAAAAAGAAGTAAAACGGGGAAAATTTTGAAATTGAAAAAGAGATATATTTTTTTATTTTTTTACTACTACTGTAATGTGTATATATATATATATTATTTTTATTTTTTTAGATCTTGAAAATTTCAAGTGAGAAGAGTGGATGAGAGTTATGTTTTCTTTGGTGAATTTTTTGGTTCCTTTCCCATGTTTAACTATGAAATCATCAATAATTAATCTCATTAATCTTTTTCAATGTATTGGAAACATAATTGAAGAATATATTTAATATTTAAGTTAAATGGTAAAAATGTCCAAAAATAAACTAGTTTATAGTGTGAACATGTCTTTTTTCATTCTGGCCAAATTATGGCCAAATTTTTATGGCCAAAAGGATTTTTCCTCCTTTCAATAGGGTTACTAAGAGTTTGATATCATTTTAAATTAAACCTTGATCGAAATCGTGCCCTACCTTTCACCTTTCATTCATTACGAGGAAAGACTAAAAAGAAGAAGAAAACTTTCGATGGACACATAACCCTTCATGAATTAACATTTGAACATAGGGAAATTTGCCTCTTGAGACTGGGTTTTCTAAGCGAAATTCCTCTTTGCCTTTGCCTTGTCTCGACAAAAGTACTTATCATTCTACCACAATTCTGTGTGATTGTTTAGTCTTTTAATCTCCATGAAGTTACTGTTTTATTTAAAATTATATATACAAGGAAAAATGACTTAGTTTTCAAAAAATCGATTAAACTTATGATTTAAGAGAAATCGAATTTCAAAAAGGACAGAGTCGCCACTTGATTTTTTAATAAAAATCAAGAAAAAACCTAAGGTTTCCAAAAGATTTAAACAGATAAAATCAATTGAAAAAGGGTTCGAGTTCAAATGTACATTCCCGAGAAAGGTCTTAGGCCCTCGAAATGCCCACTAACTTGCGGTTGACCGACGATTTGACTAATTAATATTTTAATCTAAGTAAAGAATTCATTTTATTTTAACTAATTATTGAAATTTTAACTAAGTAAAATAACTCATTTTCTTTTAAATAATTTTGAATTTTTGACTAAATAAAAGGACTTATTTTTTTTATTTATTTATTACTATTATTATTTTTATCATTTTATTTATCTCAAGGGGAAATGGACTAAAGGAGAATTTTTTAAAGGGGAAATAACTTGAGTTTTGACATGACTAATATTAAAATAGAGCTAAATAGTAAATAAAATACATAAGAAAAAAAACAAATATTTAACTTTGAATATAAAGAGAGACGGCTGTCTTCGGGGAATTAATTAAGTTAAACCAAAGATCAAATAAATGTGTTAGTTAAATACAATAAAACAATAAGAGCAGGGAAAGGAATATCCAAATTTGGGCCTCTGGCCACTTTTTGCACCACCTGTCCTGTACGCCTGCATTTTTTGCACATTCCAGCCTGCAATTTCAATTTATCAACCTGTATATCATTGTTCTTTTGGGCCTTTTCGAAATCTGAAATTCGATTTCCAACCCCTTTTTATTTTCGTTTCCTGTTGGCTGACTCAATAGAAGATAGAATTGGGCCTCTAGGGCCCAATCAACGAAATGCAAGATCAAAGAGTGGAGACTCGGGAAGAGCCGGTTCATACATGGAAAAGAATGAAACGAGATAAAGATTAATAATAGAGCATACTTTAAATCTATATAATGCAACCAAGACACATAAAAATAGAAATAAGGCAAAAATACATGTGCTTAGTTTACTATACCATGGTTTTATAAGAATGACAAAGGAATACACACCATTCTTAAGTAATCTTCACTTAGATTTAATCTAACCTCACATGACAAGATAACACTAAATGAATGTGATAAATAAATAAAATAAATTTACATATAAAAAAGAGGGGAGGGGGACAGTGATCACATGGAAAAAAACGGCATGCACAATTGGGATTAGGATCATTTAAACTTTGATCATAAAATAGCAAAATAACATATAGTTACCAAATATCTAAGGATAAATGGGATCTTAAGGCTTAATTACTAGAACTAGACTTTAACGAAACAAGCCGTAACAAATTGAGTCGAGTTCTATACTGTTGAATCATTATTCTCAGTAATTAAAATTGAAGTGAAACAAAACCTCACAACAGTAAGCATATTTAAGCTAATTAATCTAGAAATAAGCATGAACAAGTGATTGAAAATAAAATCATGTCAAAACAACACTCACACTAAATACAAAGGATGAATTTTAACTCTTTAAGTTTAAGAGAAGCAAGGGATAAATTAGGTGACAAATATGAAAATTATATAAACCTATGAAACCATGGCTATTTAACCACACAGCCTACCGAGGACGTCACAAGTAACAAGAAAGCTAGCAAAAGATACCAGATATTTAGGAAGTCTAACGCTTAATCAACAAGAAGAAAAAAGAATCGGAAAACCGAAGAGAACAAACCAATGGTTCTTTACAGAGGTTTATCACCAATCACACACTGATTTCCACATCCTAATCACATAAAGAGGCCAAAGCAAACATATATATTGAAATTACACTTTTCTTGTAAAACCAGTGGTCAAAGATGTGTAGCAACTAACATATAAACAAGCAAGGCACTAAGCTAAAGATCGGGGCCAAACAAGAAATAGCCTGAAAGCACAAGAGAAAAACACTTCAAACTAAGTAATACTTGAAACGAGCGTAAACAACGACTACTTCACTAGGCGATGAGATTCTACATAGCACGAAACAAAATCTAGAACGCAAAGAGAAGCTGTAACAAAAGGAGAAAAAAACAAAAGCATTACCTTCTTAGGAGCAGCGGAACTGAGACGACGAGTTGAAAAGCTTTCCACCACCACAATCAAAGAGCTTTCGAGAAGCTTTTTGATCGAACAAGATAGGAACCGGAGTTCGAATCAGTTATCTTCTCTACTTTGAAGTGTGTTTCGTATGTATTTTTATATATTTTCCTTTAAGCTATTTCTCTGTATCAGTGGAAGCCCCCCCCAAAAAAAACCCTCTAAAACAGTAAAAGAGATGGATATTTATAAGAGGAAAAATTGGAATTCAAAAGGGGGGAAACCGGATTCCATTTCGAATTTCAAATTCGAATTACTCTCAAAGGATAAGGTCGAACGACTGGAATTCGTACCATTCTCAACGGATTAAAGAAGGGAGCCGTCCGATTTTGGAGGAAGGATGAACGAGCGAGGAGATGGAGACACGTCGGATGACTCTCTAACGTTCTGGTACGAAAGGGGAGAGAGAGAACGCATCGAGCGATTAGAGTGGGAAGAACACGCGCGAGGCTGCTGGACTTCGGGTCGCCTGGTACGCTGGACTGGGTTTGTTTTGGTTGCTGTTCTCGTTTGGAGAGTTGCTGGAAGAAGAAGAAGAAAAATGTACTGGGGTCGGTCGGTTGATTTTGGTTTGCCGTATGTTGTATTGCTTGAAATTGTATGGGTATGGACTGATGGGTTTCTGTCTTTAATTTTGTAGGAAATGGGCTGGGAATATGATGGGCCAAGAGGATTGGATTTGATGGTAGCAATTTGGACCAAATTGTGGTCAATTTGAATTGAGAAAATAACCATATGAATTGTATTGGTGTAATTGGTTAATTTAGGCAAAATTTAAAATAAGATGAATTATTATTAATTAATTAACAAGCTTCTTAATCTTAACGAAATAAAATAATTAACTTAAAAATATAAACTATTGTATGACTAAACTAATTAGTAAAATATTCAAACAAAACAAAACCCCTTTTTTTTAGATGATTTTCTAATATTTATAAATATACTAATTATATACAAATTTATATAAAACATATGTATTACTTAAAAATTATAAAAATGATAAACTTAATTAAAAGTAACTTGAAAAATATTTTGAACTTTATAAAAACTAATTATTTCAAATCGTTTGGAATTTAAGAAGCTCGATGATTAATCTATATTGTGGAGGTCCAAAATTGGGTGTCAACAGTTACTATCTTTATTGTTGAAGTTATTCACAATTTTTTTTGAGTATTACCTCAAAACGATTCAAATGAAAAGTTCATAAGCATGCATATGTAAATAGGGATGAAAAATGGGACGGGGCGGGTGGTTACGAGGCAAATCCACGCAAGATTGTTAAGATTTCAATCCACCCTCCATAGCATAATTTGTAGTTATAAATTCACGAATTTAAAAGATTTTTTCCAAACCCATGAGCCGTGACCTGCCTCGTACCGCATAAAATATTAAAAAAAAAATATTTAAACCCACCGCTCCGCCCCACACCCATAAAATTGTTAACTCACTCCGTTTCGTTGCCATCCCTATTTTTTTTTTCTTTGCATGTAGTTACACAAAATTTTACCAACATCATTGAGCATTTAAAATGACTGAATTAACCAATATATGTCAATGCTAGCATCTGAAGTCCACTTTCATTTTGAGATGACGAAAAATATATTCAATCTTCGTACCTAATACAATCTCACATTTCCTTACAGCGGGTTCATCTTAATAATTTAAAGACTTTAAAAAATAATACTATAAGGATTTTTCAAAGATATATATAATTGAGTAGACATTAATTTTGCTAATTCGTTCGTGGATATAGTCTTTGGGTATAAGCTCATTAATTCTATATGTTGCTGGTTTAGTATACTAAGATGTTTTTGTGTGTCTCAATCAAATATTTTACTATCTTATTATTATACGATGTATCGAATAACCTACTTTTTATACCTTATTGAAATTGAATTTTTAAACTACATTAGGTAAAGACATTGTTATATCTTTAAACTTTATGTAAGAACTATTTTAAAAATATATCAACTTTTCGAAGTATTACAAAATCAACATTGGCACACAAATAAAGACCAGACATCGGACAAAAATTGGAACACAACAAGAGAATTGTTGACCCAAAAAGAAAGTAAAATGATATTTCTTCTATTTTAATTTATTTATCGTATTTTATTTTGATATGAAATTATATAAATGAAAAGGTTCTTAAAATCTTTTAGTTTTAAACTAAAGATATAAATTTTTTACTAAAATATTTTTTAATCTTGTGATTTTACAATTATGTGGAAGGTTCGAACTAATAAGAAACATTAATTTTGACGCACTAAAAAGAAAAATATGACAAATGCATTTAAACGAAGGAAGTAATAGAATATTTGACGGCAAGAAATGATAAATATTGAGGAAATTAGTCATAAATATTTGATTCCGCATTGTAATTAAGATAAATTCAGTCAAAGTAAAATAATCTCGATCACTTTATAACCGTTCCCTCATTTTTCGCCAACCAATCCCCTCATTAATAAAAAAGAACTCAGTCAAAGTAGAGCAATCATATTACTTTGATTGCTTTCTAATCCCCTCTCCCATTTTCCGTTTTCTGATCCCAATTTAAAATAATTATTAAAAAAAAGAATCGCGTCAAAGTAAAACAATCTTAGTAACTTCATTGCTTGTAATCACATTTCCCATTTTCCGCCTTCCAAACCCCCAAGGTAAAATATATATTTTTTTTAAAATCGAGTCAAAATAAAGAAATCTTATTAGATTACTTTTTAATCCCCTTTCTAATTTTCCGCCTTTTGAGCCCCTAATTAAATAATAATAAAAAAATTCAGTCAAAATAAGCTCACTCAACAACAAATATAAATTCTCAAAACACACACTTCAAACCCCCCACAAAACTCTCCCCATCAGTCGGAAAAAGTAGTAGTTGCCGGCCGGTGAACATTTCAGGTGAAAAATGGAGAAGCATTTGATTCAACCGGCGGTGGCTGCGCTTCTCTCATCAGTGATCGCGTTTAGATCTTACAAGCGCAAGTCACTCAGCTTGTCCGGAGCCATTGCTGGAGTCATTGTGATGTTTATTCACCTCGCTGTTAACTACAGGTCTGCTGCATTTGCTTAGGTACTTTATTCTTAGTTTTTTGATTGATTTCGTTTTTATGATTTCTGATTCATGTGATTGATTTCATTAGGTTTGGAGCGATGCTGCTGGTGTTCTTTTTTTCTTCTTCAAAGTTTACCAAGTTTGGAGAAGATAGGAAAAGGAAAATTGATGCTGAATTCAAAGAGGGCGGTCAACGCGATTGGTACTGCTCTGATTTTGACTCTTTGAATATAGCTCTATCATGAAAATCAATTTATATGGTGTTTTTTGTACTTTAGATTATAGTATTATTTCGTTGTAGTAAATGCTTCCTTTTGAAGGGGATCTTTGGAGTAACCGGTAAATATGCCTTTATGTGACCTCCTTGTTATAGGTTTAAGCTGTAGGAATAGCCTCTTGTAGAAATGCAGGATAATGATGCGTATAATAGGTCCTTGCCTCTTGTAGAAATGCAGGATAATGTTGTGTACAATAGATCCTTGTGGTCCGACCCTTCCCTGGGCTCTGCACATAGCAAGAGCTTTAGTGTATCGGATTGCCCTTTTTTAAAGTTAATGTTCCTTTTGTCCAGACTATTATTCATTTTTCCCTTTTATTTTTAGATTACTATCACTACCTATTGTTTGTGTGTCTTATTATCTTGTTGGTTTCTCCGTTTGTTGCTATTGTCACTTTTTCACCTTTGCTCCGCCAAGGGTCTTTTGGAAACCTCTCTACCTTCTTAAAGGTAGGGGTAAGGTTTGTGTACATTCTACCCGGTCTCAGACCCCACTTGTGGAAACACATTGGGTTTGTTGTTGTTTGTTCTCCACTTTTTTTTTTATATTTTTAACTCAGTAACTTTGTATCATGTCACAATAAGTAGATAATTCTCCATCTATCTCTGTTTTTAGCATGTACTCTTGCTTCCTCCCAACTCTTCAGAACCTCTATGATTCTCTGGGGGGAGATACCTTTGAGACTTAGAAATATTCTCCATAGTTTCTGAGTGTAATTGCAGGGTAGAATCATATGGTTCACTAGGGATGGCAATGGGGTGGAGCGGTTGTGGGGCGGGGCAGATAAGAGTTTTTGTGGGGGCAGGGGGGGTACAAAATATATTTTTTTAAATTCATGCGGGTACAAAATATATATTTTAAAATTCATACGGGGTGGGGCGGATATACGGGTTGTGAATTTTTCTTTTGAACTTAATTAAAGGAAAGGGTAAAACCTAAAATACTACAACAAAACTACATCAAATGTTAATAGAGATTGGCATTTTTCTTTTTTTGAAGTTGTAGTTTGTGCAAAAAGTTGGGATCTTTTGGTGTTATAGCTAATGTATCAAGGATTTATAAGTAGTTGACAGTACTTTATGCAGTTGAATTTTGCACAACCTGATTCAAAATGGAAGTTGAATTTTACTTGTCCAATTCCAATTATTTTCTTTTAGTAAATTTATTATTGACAACTGAATTTGTTTCTTTATGAAGTTGCATTTGTTTTTTCAACTCAGTAGATTGATAACTGGTATATTTTTAATAAAACAATAATAAATTATGCGGGGCGGGTTTTGTGGCACGGGGCGGGGCGAAATCTTTGCGGGTTTATGTGGGTTTGCCCCGCACCTGCCCTGCTCCGCCCCATTTCCCATCCCTATCGTTCACTGTCTCAGATGTTTCCTTACAAATAAACATCCAGAGCATAAGTTATCCCTCTCTTCATCACATTGTCCTGAGTCAAAGCTGCTTCCTTGGCCAATAACCATATGAAACAAGATACTTTGTAAGGTATCCTATTTTTCCAAGTTATCTTCCATGGCCAATGTGGATTATGATGGCTTGGTTGATCCATCATCTTGTAAGCTTGTTAATTTTGACACCTTTGTTGTTACCACTCCACCATAATATATCCTCCCCAATCTGAAAGCACATTAAAGGTGTCCACAGTGTTAAGAAATTTAGCAACTCTTATAATTTTTTTCCAGTCATTTTGCTACCTTCTAAAGGTAATTTTCCTATCAGTTTCAAAGAAAGTTCCACCAATGTGGTGTCGATAGCTCTGCTATGGACCTTTGTTGGAACAAAGCTAGATTGAAGATATCTGGGAATAGAGCTTCCAAATTGCCCTTTTCATGCCATTCATCCTTCCAAAACTTGGTCTTTCTTCCATTCACCACTTTTTTCTTTGAGTTGTTCTTCACCTCATCCCACATGTCTCTTAGGGTCGTTTGGTGTGATGGATAAGAGAAAATAATCCTGGGATAAGTTTTAGTACCTTTGAATTCTTTGTCCTTAGTCAAAGCTGCTTCCTTGGCCAATAGCCGTATGAAACATGATACTTTGTAAGGTATCCTATTTTTCCAAGTTTGCTTCAATGGCCAATTTGGATTATGATGGCTTGGTTTATCCATCATCCTGTAATCTTGTTAACTATGAATACACCTTTGAAGGTGTCCACAGTGTTGAGAAATTCAGCAACCTAAACCTCTGCACTTAGAGAAAAGTTTTCTTGATGGTATCTCGTTTCTGGATCAAAACCTCCATCTGAGTTTTCGATTTATTCTATGAAGATATGCTTATCCTTTCTTCTTTTTATATTTTAGTTTTTGCTTTTTAAGACCTAAGGAAATGATCCTTCACTTCAAATGAATGTGTTCTATGTGATGCAAGTAGCACTTCAAATGAATTTGTTGTATGTGATACAAGTATATATCTGTTCTCTTTTTTCCCATACAGTTTCATGTAAAAAAAAACGCATGAAAAGATTTTGATTTAGAACTGAAATGGTTCCAGGTTTTTGAGCCAATATTGTTATCCTATCACAAGGGTCTGTTCTGTTCATTATCCTGTTTAAGATGCTAAATAATCAAATAACTGTAGCAGAACATATGTTCTCTGTTTGTGGTAGTGAAAGATCAATAGATCTGGATATTAACTCTTTAAAGAATTACCTGATGAAGGATAATTGGGAGATTAAGATGGTGAACCTGTGCATCAGAATCAACTTGCTTTAATTCTACAGACTGATCTGTTGCTGTTAAGCTCTCTTTGCATCTCCGTAAATTTGATGACAATTTTGAAATCCTGTTTTCTAAAGTTAAGGGCTACATCTTGGGATAATGTGAAATCAAAATCTTAATTTTCATTGTTTCATGTGAATTCAAGTTAGAATTATTTCCCCTTTCTCCTATCCTTTTTTTGTTGCTATTAGAATTTTTGCTTTTTGTTTCATTTCAATGACAAGGTACTTAATCATAAACCTCATCTTCAAAAATTTCGAGTGCTTATGAGCCATGAGGACAGTTATTTGAATGTGAATATTAAGTCATTTTTAGAATTTTTTTACATTAGGACGTTATGTGCTCTGTGATTAAAACCAATATTTTCTACCAATTTCGTCATTTGTTGCAAACTTTCCATAAAACCAATATTTTCTACCAATTTCATCATTTGTTGCAGACTTTCCTGAATGGCTCTTTGTAGCCCTTGTATTTGTCAAAAAGTGATAATATCCTGACATCATAAATTTACAACTTCACAACTTCACCTAGTCATTATGGATATGAATAGAGGAAAAGAATTTTTTCTGGAGGTACAACATGTGTTGGATATGTTTGTTTTACCATTCTGACGCTTTATTCAAGATGGTTGTAATTTCCGCAGAACGTATTTTGTAATTTGTGATTGGACACCACAGTAACCTTGTAGAAATGCCACAAGTAATGTGAGAGAGGTCTTAGCTTTAGCTTTCCTCATTAGTATTTTAATTTGTGTCTACAGGATTCAAGTCCTTTTCAATGGTGGCATCGCAACCCTTTTGGTTCTGACTGTATGGACAGTGATTGGGTCAGAGGACAAATGTCTGGATTCAAAAGAGTCACGCATGATAACATCTTTAATTGGTGGTATCATTGGTCAGTTCTGCTGCTGCAATGGGGACACATGGTCTTCAGAGCTTGGGATACTTAGTAATGAGGAGCCTCGACTAATTACAAACTTCAAGGTGTGAATTCATAGCTTTGACATCCGCTAAATCCTCAGTTTTTCATTTATTCGGACACCTCATACATAGGAGAAAACACTGTAGAATGTCTTTTATCTTTAGTGTTCATTAGGAGTCAAATAAACTGATAAAACTTTCCCTTTATCTATTTCATCCTTGCGAATTTCAATTAGTTTATTGAGAGTCAAGTATGAGCTAATCTCATAATAAGCCGAGTTCTTCTCTACTTAAGCTTGGAAACATGATAACTACCTTAAGATTTTCATGATAATCAATTTATTATTCTTTATCTCGACCCTTTTTGAACTATTATCAGACGGTTCAAGATTAGGAGATTATGTTTCTCATTTCTCCTTTGTACTTAAAATCAGACAGTTCGAAGGGGTACAAATGGTGGAGTGACAAAAGCAGGACTCTTGGCTGCAGCAGCAGCAGGCACTGTCATTGGATTGACATTTGTAGTCCTGGGATTTTTCACTACAAAGTGCACATCTGATGTGACTGTAAAGCAGCTTTTTGTCATACCACTTTCTGCATTGGCTGGAGTATGTGGAAGTGTTATTGATTCTTTGTTGGGAGCAACACTACAATTCAGTGGATTCTGTTCTGTTCGGAAGAAGGTCAGCCATAGTTTATCTCTTAAAAGAACTAAGTGGATTTGTTTACGCAAGAAATAGTACATAGTAACTGATCACCCCACCGCCTCTTCTCTGTGAAAGAAAACTGAAAAAGTAGAAGACGGCTGTCAATATGTTTTCTAAAACCATAAAAGCAATCCATGCCATGTTTGTGTAAGATGGTTCTCGTCCAGATCTGAGTTTCCATGGCTATAATTTTATCGGTATTTGAGAAGCTCTTGAAGTTATGTAAATATTCTTTGTGCTCTGATATCCAATCAAACTACTCTTTTAGCAATTGAAAGGAATTTGGTAAAAATACAAGCAGTTTCTTTTGCATACCTAAACTAAAGGTCTTTATAACTTAACCAAAAGAAGAGATAAAGCCAGTCTACTGTATGTTCAGGAACCTATCATTTTTCTAAAATTTTGTGCACACAGCTGTTCTCTTTGGTTGACTTTAATTATTGAAGCTGTTTCTGTTGAGTTTACATGGTATGTGATATTTAAAGCAAAGACATACCTGCAGAAAAGATATAGAGAAAAAAAGGATATTGAGTTCATTGTGCAAACGAGCAAATGAGTAACAAAAAGAAAACAACAATTTAAAGTTTGGACACTTGATATTCTTCTTCCATGTAGGTTATTGATGCTTCATACTTCATGATATCTTACCTTGCAGGTGGTTGGGAAGCCAGGACCAACTGTGAAGAGAATATCTGGTCTTACTGTCCTTGATAATAATGCAGTGAACCTCGTATCAATATTGCTGACAACGGCTATAACCTCCATTGCCTTCTTATACATTTTCTGAATGTATCCACCCAGCTCAATTTGAATTCTGTAGTATTTTGTATCATCTTCCAGCAACAATGAGGATTATGTTCATGCTATAAATGCTACTAAGTATCATAATCCCTATCGAGATTAAATGAGAGAATTTTTTCTCAATGCTGCCATTTTGATCTCAAAGTAATCAATTGTTTCTTCTTTCTTGTTTTGTTTTTATTTTCGTCATCCCCCCTTTATGTTTCTAGACATGAAAAAGGTATGTGGAGCTATCCATTAGAAGCAATGGCTACAAGCAGGCAAAACAATCATTGCCATGTAGTTCATAATAGATAGGACTGCACAGAAGAACAACAATGTTTTTAAAACTAAACGTTTGAAAGTTTATACATTGAAGTGCTACCATGAATTAGAGGACAGGTTCATGGTAGCACTTCAATGTATAAACTTTCAAACATTTAGTTTTAAAAACATTGTTGTTCTTCTGTGCAGTCCTATCTATTATGAACTACATGGCAATGATTGTTTTGCCTGCTTGTAGCCATTGCTTCTAATGGATAGCTCCACATACCTTTTTCATGTCTAGAAACATAAAGGGGGGATGACGAAAATAAAAACAAAACAAGAAAGAAGAAACAATTGATTGTGAACTCCGTGGCAATGATTGTTTTGCCTGCATGTAGCCGTTGCTTCTAACGGATAGCTCCACATACCTTTTGTTTGCTGCTTTTCATGATTTTCAGTTGAGTTATGCGTTCTTTTTACCCTTTTTGTTGTCATGTTCTCTTCTACCAATATGTTCATATTGTACAAATGAGGCTCTGAGGTTAGCTCTTGGTTATAAGTTGAGAAAATTTCATAGATAGCGATAGTTTTGTCCCTAATTAGGAAACATAGTGATAGTTTGTGTATTTACAAAACGTAGCAACAATTTGTTTCAAATTTAGCGGATATCTTGTATCTGCACACAAGCGAAATACACTGTATCTGCGCGCTTACAATATCTCTGCCTAACTGAAAATCGCGCGGATACAAGATCAACTTAAATACACTTTAATACTCTTTACAGTCATCCCAAAAATGTCACACATACAACTTACAAGCATGCAACAATACACTTTACATTCATACAACATACACTTGTATGTCACTATATTTCAGTGTATCACTCTTATATTTTATGAAAGCTGGTCGTTGTGCAACTGCTTGATTGTCTTCTATTTTAGTGGATATCCTTTGAAGAAGGCAGAAGCATATGCTTCATTAAGAAAGTAAGTTCCATCCATCCTTTGCACTATGTAGTTTCATTGTCAGGCATGCTCGCTTTCTCTTTTGCGGCATTCTCTGGCCTCTGAATATCTACTTTGACATGCATAAATGATCTTTTGACTGACATCGCCAAAACTGCTAGCACTAGAGATTGTAAGAGTCCTGAAAATTTTATTTACTTATGCAAGATTTTGGTAAATTTGAGGATTTCGTTAGCATGCATGCAACATTGATGCTATAATTCAGCCAATGTCTATAGCCATATAAAATCACAAGATTGTCTGTCTGAACATGTATAAACAGCAAGCTTAAAGTTTTTGATGTCACTGATCGTCAATCTCCTTCTCTTTTTTATCTTTTGGCTTCTCAAATTTGATAGCAACATATACTATGCGTCAGGGTAAACTCTGTTGTTTGTGATTTATTCTTTTGGCAAGCGATAAATGATTGGCTGGCAGATCTGAATCATTTGTTAGGAGTTCAGGGATAGTAAACAATGCAGGATAGACTTAAACGAAATTAGAAAAAAATGGAAGTAACAGTCGTTTTGCTTTAACTGTGTTGTTTTTTAGTATTCCTTAATATCTCCTTCAAATCTGGATTTTCCAGAAATTATTGTTGATCTGTTTGGCAATCTTTTCTGCTCAGATGAAGGTTTGGTATTCGTAATAATGCCCACTGTCTGATCATATTACTTTTGTATACACAAGGTCCCAAGATCAAGAAGATCTGATGCTGTTGAGTGGTGAAGCTCCAAGGATAAATATCTTTTGTAATGATGATAATTTGGCATCTTAACAGAACCTTCTTTTTGATCCCCTGTAAATGTTGGAAAGAAATATCCAACACAATTATATAAACCTTTGCCATCGTGGACAACTTATGATGCTATATTATCTCCTCTGTCTTAGGCCTTTCCTTGTGAATGAATTGGAGCCACAGTACCTTCTTCATGATCGGAGGAAAGTATACTAGTGTCTTGCGATGTTTGGAATCCCTGTGCCAAGGTATGGTTGCATTCACAGAGAAGTACCTTGCTGGCATTTGGGTTATTTTGTTGAAGAAGATGACTTTGTTGAAGTCATGGGAACCGCTTTTGGAAACCTTTTGTGGAAAAGCCTACTGTTGATGGTCAGTCTCTCTTCCCATGGATGATCAAATTTTCATATTGTTTACTCTAGCTGTAAATGTATGTGCATGGCAGGCTGCCAATTCAATGAGAAGAACTCATATTCTCTAGGGCCGTTTGATAGCTGGTTAGAGTTATGCAGGTATTAATAATGCATGGTATTAGTTATGAGAAAATCTACGTATCATTCTATGCAGGTATTAGTTATCTACCTTCTATCCCGCATAAAATAATTCATAAATTCCTTCATAAGCTATACATGTATGTGTCACGAGGGTTTCTAAATTGCAAACCAAATACTATATGAATAAGTTGTCTCTTAACTATCTACCGAACTTGGTAAGTATTACTTGTGCAGGATTTAATACAAGGGTAACTTACCTCCAATACAGCTACCAAACAACCCCTTAGTTCCTTGATGAGTAACCACTTTGGTGGTATCATAATAGTCGGACAAACAAGATGCCTCTTAGTAAAGATTTCATAGTTGTTAGGTTGTTGTTGTTAACATGCTGCTTTAAAAGTTTCAGTTTGGTTATTTTGAACTAAGGAAATTGTTGTTGATGTTGTCTGCTTGTGAATATGCTGCACTTCTGATATTGTAAAAATACTACTCAGGATGGGAAAGATCAATCTCTTATTTGCTTTTATGTTGCTGATACCAAACCTCTCTACCTCCACGAGGTATTGGTAAGGTTTGCGTACATTCTATCCTCTCTAAATCTTACTTGTGGGATTTCACTGGGTATGTTGTTGTAGCTGATGCCACCACATAATTATTACTATCCTAGTTCCGATGGAAGCCGGGGAATGAAGGAATTGTTTCGAATGCACAGTACCTAATAACCATCCTAAACTTGGGTGTTTTCTTTAGATCCCCTATACTATCAGTAGTGTAGGTGGTAAAGGCTACCAAATAGCAAAGTCCGGGGTAATTAAGACTACTGATAGTTTGGGAAGTATTTGAAGAAAACATGTCAAGTTTGGGAAGGATCTGAAGAAACTGCATCATATAATTTATACCCATAAATTTAGTCTATAAAGATGCGGTCCCCCTCTTATTTCTTTGTTCAAAACACATGGTTTTCTCTTCAAGCCAGAAGTTGTGACTATATATAAATCCTTCTTTACTTCAAGTGATCTCTAATATTAACCTAACCTAAGTTGCTCGGACTCTTCACTTTTGGTGTCGCACCTTTGTCGACACGACGTGGTGTGTGTGTGGGAATTCGTATCCGATCTGGTCAAACTAGTTTTGGTACTCTGACCAAATTTGAGGGAGAAATTTTTGGACAAATTTAATGATTTTTGTGCGCAAAACAAAATTAAGGTGAAATTGAAGAAAATGAATACCTCGTATATGTAAATTGCTATTGTCACTCCCTTTCCTTTTATCGCCTTCCAGGATTCTCCTCAAGTTTTCTACATAAGATCTCGTAACATAAGTTATATAACTCTATTTTAGTTATTTGAATTATTTTTAGCTGAATTCTTGCACTTGTATCTTGAAATGGATCCGTATCACCGAATCTAAAAATTTAGATCATAGAGAATCCGACCTCTAAATCCGCATCCGTATCGGACACCCGTACTTGAGTCCGAGCAAAATTAGGACCTAACATAGTAATATTCTAATAAAAATCCAAGGCAAAGTTAGTGGATCACAATTGATGCAACCATCTGTTTTCCCTACATCTACCTGTGAAGTTAAATTATATTTGTCATTTATCAAGCATGTTGGTGTCAAGATAACTGGTAGGTAAATCAATATTCTTTTTACTTGTGGGATTTTACGGGTTATGTTGTATTTTAGCAAATTAGGAGTTATTTTTCTTCATATTCTTAGTATTAAATAACTATAATAAAGTAATCATAGTCAACTTTAAACTTTCAAAATATCATTAATAATATTAGTTTAATAAAATACACCTCTAATTAATGTTTTCTTAAAGGATATGTCAGATCAACAACGATCAAGTAATATGAAATGAAGGAGTTTTTTTTTTAATCTTTTTTTCTTATTCAATGCTTAATATTTGTATCAGGGTTAAATTTGGATAGAAAATTCCACATTGACTTTATATTGGGGATTCAAACTCAAAATCGTCGATTAAAGATGAATTTATAACTACTCCCCTTTCATATTACGAGACTCATGTTGAAAAGATAGTTTTAATAAGAGGTGTATTTTACTAAATTAATTTTATTATTGATGTTTTGGAACTTTAAATTTGACTACTATTATTTTATTCGGTTATTTAATCTTAAGTGTAGATGGATAAAAAGCAATAAAACTCTCTTGATTTTTAAAAAAATGGCAAATAAAATGAAACAATTATTTGATATAGGAGCCAAGTAAAATGTAATGAAGGGAGTATTATTTTCATTTTTGGTGCGTAACGATAGAAATCAAATACTCACTCTGTTTTCGTTTCATATTACTTGGTCCTATATTAAAAATAGTCGTTCAGTTTATTTGTCCAATTTGTGAGATCAAAAGAAATTTTATTTCTTCATTTGTTCATTTTTTACTTGTGGTCTATTTTGGACTTTGCACTCCTCTTAAGAAAGTAATAATTAATATAAGTATTTTACAACAATATTCATATTAGTTAATGTAAGATCTTGCAAAATAAGTAATTAATGTGGAGGAAAAAAATTATCTTTTCTTGATATGTTAAAAATGAACAAGTAAAAGTGGATGGATGAAGTATATTTTGGTATTTGATGGAGAACGGGAAATCCTTGAGTGGACTGTTATCCTTAATTGGATGAAACAATGCTTGACTTGACTTTCTTGATATCATACTGTAGCATTATTGATCAACTATTTGATGTTCATATGTATGTCCTTGAAAACGATCACAAGTTGAGGGACTAAAGTGGAGGACCCAAGAAATGATGATTAAGTGAGGGTATTTCAGTCAATTAAATTCACACATACTTCCAACATCATGTGCTTCATCCTATATAATATAACAACTACTTTTGTCCACTTTTGATCATTTTTATAGTCATTACACAAAGTACCAAAAACCTCAAAACTCTTCAATGGCTGACCTCTTTGATCTGAAAAAACACAACCAAATGAACAATGAAGAAACATATCAAGTAGCAATAGTAATTGTTCCATATTTAGAACAAGGACATCTCAATCCCCTTCTCAATCTTTCTCGTATCCTTTCATCTTACAAACTTCCTGTATTTTTCCTAGGTACTAGTACTAGTAATCGACAGGCGAAATTCCGGCTATCTGGTTGGGACATTCTTGATTTTCCGACCATTCGATTTCATGACCTTGTACCTGTTCCTCCTGATTCTTGTTCCTCTGTTTCTGCAGCAGTAATGGAGAAAATAGGCTCATTCTTCACATCCATTTTGCTGCTTCGTGAACCAATTCGGGAGTTTTTGCAGGAAGTTTCGAGTACATATAGAAGGACAGTGGTTATTAATGACTCAGGTATGTAAAGACGGATTCAAAATTTAAATTTGATGGATTTAGCTTTGATTTCGAGCTTCTCTTTCATTACTTCTTTTAGAAAGACAGCCTATTTATGATTTCAATAAGAGTATATTAGTAAAAGGAAGGATCAAGAATGTTATATATTTTAGGAGCTAGATTAGTAGATGATGAGCAATTATGAAATGACTCAACAAAAAAATGATCTTGTAAAATAACTATTAGAGCCAGTGCATCATGGCAACAACACTAGGAGAAATACAATTAGAATCTCACGAATGACAGCTATTTTACCAGTGCACATGTCTATCTCACTTTAGGAGGTATCAGAGCGATTTTTGGTACAAATATTTGAATTTCTTGGGTTGATATCTCAGATGGTTTCAACTAAGAGTTATTTATCTCAAAAAGTCGCATTACTTCTTGATTTCAACTTTATTCACCAAAGAATATGACTTTCTGAGATAAGAATTGTTAGTTGAGTGACCATATGAGAAATCGAACGTCATTTCTGCTAAAAATCTTTCTTATTTCGAGGCTTCTCTTTCTTCTTGACCAGTATGTAGCAAGGCCTTATTCCCATCTATTCGTGAAGGAGTGATTGGAATTAAGCCGTTTAGTATATCAGTTGAAATTATGAGTTCAAGAACCAAATTTTGTGCAGGCATGTCATGGGTAGTTCAAGATGCAGTGTCAATCCCCAATACAGAATGCTACTGTTTCCATACAATTTCTGTGTTCACTGCTCTGTCATTCGCCTGTGAAACTACGAAAAAGCTACTTCCGTCTCCGGTGGCTGAGATAATTGCGGAGCTTCCTCCAAGGGAAAATACATTTGATTCCGAAACCATAGAATACATAAAGATGCAGCGCGAGTCGAGGAATTTTTACTCAGTTGGTCTACACAATTCTTGTAAAGAAATCGAAGGTGTTTTCATTGATTTGCTGGAAGTACAACGCGAAAACAAGCAATGGGCAATTGGTCCATTAAATCCAGTGAAAATTTCAAAGAAAAAAAGCTCCGAACAAACTCATGAATGTTTTTCATGGCTTAATAAGCAAGATCTAAATTCAGTGATTTATGTTTCGTTTGGATCGACAACTACATTATCGAAAGAACAAATTAACGAGCTGGCATTTGGATTAGAACAAAGTGAGCAAAAATTCATCTGGGTTCTTCGAGGAGCTGACAAAAAAGGTGGGGATAATATTGAAAATGTCGAAAGAGGAAGTAATTTTGATTTGCCAGAAGGATTTGAAGAGAGAATTAGAGATAAGGGGGTTGGGTTTATAGAGAAAAATTGGTCACCCCAATTGGAAATCTTGGCACACGGGTCAATCGGGGGATTCATGAGTCATTGTGGATGGAATTCATGTATCGAGAGCATTTCAATGGGAGTTCCAATGGCAGCTTGGCCGATCCATTCAGATCAGCCGAGGAACACTGTGCTGATAACAAAAGTACTGAAGATCGGGATCATTGTGAGAGATTGGGAAAATCGAGATGAATTGGTAAGTGCTGCGAAAATTGAAAATGTGGTGAGAAATTTGATGGGTTCTGCAGAAGGAGAGGAGCTGCGGCGGAGAGTGACAGAGTTGAGCAGTGCTGTGAAGAAGTCAGTGATGAATGGCGCCAGTCGCAAGGAGATGGATTCCTTTGTTGCTCATATTACCAGATGAGTTCACATTTATCAGGTTAGGTTGATCTACAATAACAAATCTATCGTATTAAACCATATCTTATGTTGTTAAACATTGAGTAATGAACTAATGATCTGTTATAATTGATTAAATTGTTTCGATGGTATAAAAATATGTTGCCCGTATATAATATAAACTGCTTTAAATTCTAATAGACATTCAGGGTAACAAAACATGAAACAAGCTCAACTAGTACAAAAATGGATCTTTTTATCTTGTAATATGGGCAATGAAAGAGTCCATCTCTTTGCCGCTGCCACCACTATTCACCACTGATTTGCTCAACTCCGTAGCCCTCTGTCTCATCTTATCTCCTTCTGCAGAATCCATCAATCCCTTAACGCATTCTGCTACTGCATCTGAGCTCACCAACTCGTCTCTCATCGCCCAATCCTTCAATACTACTCCAATTTTCAACACCTCTGTTACCAAAATTGCATTTCTTGGTTGATCGGAATGCATTGGCCAAGCAACTATTGGCACTCCCATTGAAATACTCTCCATACATGAATTCCACCCACAATGACTCATGAATCCACCCGTCAACTCGTGTCTCAATATTTCCAGTTGTGGTACCCAATCTCTCACTATTAACCCTCTTTTCTCCACTTTTTCTTCATACCCTTCTGGTAACTCAACTTCTCTACTTTCCCTGTAAAAATGTCACCTTTATCTGCTTCTCTCAATACCCATATGAATTTTTTCTCACTTTTCTCCAACCCGATCGCTAATTCTTTAATTTCTTCATCGGAAAGTGTAGTCGTTGTCCCAAAAGACGCGAATATGACGGAGTTTGGTTCTTGTTCATCCAGCCATTTGATACATTTATGGGGTTTTCTTGAATCTCTTTTATCAAACAGTTTCGGCGGGTTTAATGGACCAACAGCCCATTGTTTATTACCTGCACTTTTCTCTTTTGCTAGCAAATCAAGATAAAATCCTTCAATTTCATAACAAGAATTGTATAAATCACCAGAATTAACCATTTCCCTAAACTCTGTTTGTACTCTGCTGAATTCTGCAAATTCTGATGTGAAGCAGCCTTCCATTGATGAAATTTTTTCCAGAAATTCATTTTCAGCATCAGCAGGTAATCTTCCAGCAGCATCACAGATGAATGAGTAAATAGTAAAACCTGGAAAGAATTATTAGAAGAAGTTTAATAACGTGAGTCTGTTATTTGAATCTGACTTTAGGCCACTAATTTGTTTGAGTCGTGACTGACCTGAAATGCTACGAAAGCTATAGCACTCAACATTCGGTATAGAAGGAGCATCTTGAAGAACCCAAGCTATTAAAGAATCATAAATAACAATTACTCTTTTGTAATTTCTAGAAAGTTCATGTAAAAGAGAAGAAATCGGGTGGCGGAGATGACACGTGGCGAGAAGAGAGGGCATCAAATGGGAGGGAAATTTGGTGGTTGAATTTGGATTTGGAGGTGGAGTTTCGTAACTTGGGATTGAGAATTCGTGGAATTTGACGTTGGATGTGGAAAGTGGGTCCCATCCTTGGACGCGATTTTTCGCTTGGCGGAGATGGGTGGTGGTTCCGGTGAAGTGGAGTGGGAGGTGATAGGCGGAGATGAGGCGGGAGAGGTGGAGGAGTTGGTTTAAATGGCCTTGTGTTGGTAGTGGAATCATCACTACGGCCACCTCAACATTGCTAAGTTTGACCATATTATAATTTTTTGGTAAATTATGAGTATGTAGTATTGGGGTATTTAATGGTGCTAGTTGTTGGTAGCTAATTTGCTATTGACAAGTTGTATAAATGTTATGGGAATTTTCCTAGGAACATAGCAATGTTTTTTTTTTACCCTTCTCTTCTTTCCCATCGCTCGATGTGACGAGATCAGATTTCTAGAACGAAGTGAAATAAAAAAAGAATATTGCTTATGGAAAAGCTCTATTCATAAAAGTCTTTGTAGGAAGATTCCTCGAAGTTGAGTCTATTTTTTTTTTGTTAAATATCTGAGCTTTGAGCTCTTTTGTTGACTTAAGTCAAGTCTATTTTAAAGCTTATTCCAAAGAGATTGGGATTAAATTTTCAATTAGATGTGTTCACCTCAAATTGTTAATGACAGATTTGTATAAACCTTCTATTCTTTACTTTCTTGATTGATAGATAATAAGGTCTAGAACTTGTTTCCTTAGATTTGTTGAATTATTCTGTCTTCAGGTATTAAATTTGAACAAATATCTTTGAATGACTTTCCTTTTAATCGATTGTGAAGGAAGGTTCCACTTTATTACTCAAGCAGTAAATATATATAAGATTTTTCTTCATTTTTTTAAAATTTATTTTGACTCTTCTTAATGAAAATTATGATTACATTGAGGTCCAAATTAATCCGAATTTATATTGGATAAAAATCATTAAAGGCTAAGTCCTCCCTATTAAGATTTTATTTATACTTAGAAATTGACCTTGAAATTTCTAATTAATAATAAAGTGATTCTCTTCTTCTCATCACATTCCATTGTCTTTTTCTTTTTTTCTTTTCCAATTTGGATCAAAATGTCATGTTGAAACGTAAGTGGTGACATAAGTTTACAACATAAGAGACATATTATATCAATCACTCATCTTGCCTAGTCGTTCAACCTTCTAGCTTCATTGAATATTTCAAAAATAGCATCAAATATATTCTAATTGACTTTTTGTTTTGTTTCCACACAATATTTAGTATTTATATTGACCATACTTTTTTCCACACCTAGAATAAGAAAATAAAAAAAGGTAGCTTGATATATAAAGTATTTCAAATTTACTCGAGATTTGTAGAAGAGTTATATAGGTATAATAAATGTCAGTAATTTATTCTAATATAAATATCTATAAGTAATTTTAAGGTTCAAGCTTGAAATTTATAAATTGTTACTCCAAAATTTCTTCAAATAAGAGAATAAATGTTGAAGAAAAGTATAATAAAGGGAAAATAAGATAACGAACAACTATTAAATCAGTTGTTATATAAATTATTATTTTCATCATTAAATAATAAATTTAAGAATATGATATAAATATAATAAAATTTACCTAATAATTAAAAAATATATAGAAAAAATCATTTATAAAATAACAATATATTCTCTTATTATATAAGAGAGACTTCACGCTGAAGCAGACACAATTTGGAAAAATAAAAAATAAAAAATTATTTCTTTTGTTCTACTTTAATTTAATTACTGTATAATATTTACGAAATTATGAGATCCGTTTTAGCTATGACTTTTAGTTTTAACTTCACGTTGAAGCATACACGTCTTCGTCGACGTGCCTGCTTTAACGTGTTTCAGAAAAAAAATTAAAAAAATATTTCTGTTATTCTACTTTAATTTAAGTAGTGTATAATATTTTCAAAATTATGAGACTCATTTTAGCTATGACTTTTAGTTTTAAATTCATATTCCTTAGTTATAGTTTTATTATTTTGAATGTCGGTAATTCTTGGTATATTTTGTAACTACTTTGAGACTTTGAGTAAAAAATCAACGATCGATGATGATGATGAAAAATACTTTATTTATAGATATCTTAATGGACCTATTCACATTAAATTTGCTCAAACAAAAAGTAACTAACAACTTAAAATATCTAAAAATTCTATTAAAATTTCATTAATATTCTAAATTTTACCTATATCACATAAATTAAAATAAAAAAATACTCAATAAATATTAGGCTATGTCTAGTAATGCAATAAAACAGATAACACATTCAAACAAGCTGTCAATAGTCACATTATTCAAAAGTACAAAGCATTTTCTTGAGGAAAAATTGGTTAGCTACACGATATTGACCGGATCTCACAACAAAAATTATTGCAAAAAGCTGTCAGGTGTAAGTAAAAAAAAAATTAAAAAAAAATTAATTTTTGAAAAATATTGTTTATTAAACCAAATACGTATATTTTAATCCATTATTTGTTGGAGTTACTAGTGTTATTAAGGAGACAATAATAAAATTTAGAGAGTTAAAAAAAAATAAAAAAAATAATGTAGGGGGCACATCTACACATATTTTTACATTTATGGAGTAGTAGTTTAAGAAAGAGTAACTTTCACATATACCAAACAAAAAAATCATAGTTGTATGCTATAGCAAAGTTTGCATAATTGCGCTCCATAGCAAACATAAATATGTATAATTCGCTATACATATACAATTAAAAGCTGTCTATTTCGCTATACATATATACAAAAAGAAGCAATTGTATAATTTGTTGGCTCCTCTTCAGAATTGTATAATTTCGCTGGCAGACCATTTGTATAAATTGTTGTTAGCCTCTCGTTTGTATAAATCGTTGACAAACATAAATTATAC